CCACATGGCAGCGACGTGAAGCCAAGACCAGAGAAAATGGGCTGAAAGATGGTGAAAAATGTGTGTCAGTCAACACACACATACATAAGAGAAAGAGAATATGATTCATAAAAATGCACCGAGCGGTGAGTGGGTTTTTAAATTTGACATTTGTTATTCACACAATGAATATTAGTGACGAAACAAAACTAACGACAGGAAGAAAAGTCGGACTGAACACTTTATATAACTGTGCTTTTCGGGTGGGGGGGGGACTGAACACTTTATATAACTGTGCTTGTTGGGAGGAGTCGTCAATTAGTCTCTAGACGTAGACGTTGTGGATATGTAGAGAATTAGCTCTGGAAGAAAAATGATTTTGAACTGGTCTTTTTGACTTAGTACTAGTCCTACAGTTTACCTGTTAACTTAACGGTGATGGGTTAATTAGATTTGTCTTTTCAGGAACTCAGTCTGTGTGTAAGTAAAATGTATTTTATGATACAAAGTGTGCGTTTGTGTGTCTGACCGGTCTGCCTGCAGTCCAGACGAGTCGTCACGAAGAGGAAGAATCCTACGACAAAAAGTCAAAACTGTTAAAGCATCTATATTTGATTTGAACTCAAACATATTATAATGAGATGCATGTCATAAAAATGGTCCTATCACAGGGGAGCGGTCTCCACTGATAGGAAGCTGTGAAAAGTCAAAGAGCAATGGCACGGTGTGTGTGTGTGTGTGTGTGTGTGTGTGTGGAGAGCTGATGCTGAGACGTCCTGACAGCTTCTGTTTCTGTTCACTGAGAGACTGTTATGCAGAGTGACCACGTTGTCTACCGTTTCCTCCACAGAGGTTATGCCATTGCCAGCAGTCGACATGACACAATGAATGAACCAGTGCTGTTTGAGTGACAGAGGTCGGGTCAGTGATGAAGTCGCTGCGACCTCACCCTACATCCTGGCTTCCATTTCAAAGTCAAGACTCGCCACGTTTAAACATCAAATTTCGACCTCGGTCCCGCTCTCAGATCCTAACACCGCTAACGCGTTTTTTCGAAAATGGCGTGCTTGGTAATCGGGTGTGTTGGGCCGTCGGTTCAGGGTGCACGATCTTGCCAACATGACTCAAGTCTGCCTGTGAGCTGCTCCCCTTGCCTGCGCTTCTACTCCGGTTGTTTCTATGATCTATTTTAGATTCTTTAGCCCAGGGACGTGTTTGCGTTCTCACAGCAGAGAGCTGTAGAAATAAAGGGCAAAAGAGAGGAGAGGGAAAACAGAGTGTTCAAATAATCCACAGCCAATCAGGAGAGATCGTTCACACACGGAGGCTGCAGATAACAGCAACTCAAGCCTAACTTTTTTTTGGGGGGGGGTCAACAAAATTGGAATTACCCCAACAAAACCAGACCTGTCTGCGGTATCTGTGTCGAGGGTTTCATATTTGTTCCAAAATATAAGGATTTACAACAGTTGTATCCACACAGTGGTTGAAATTGGGTGCGTTTTTTTCCCTAAAAGAAGCAGCAACAGAGGAGCCGAGTCTTGAACCGATCACGTGCCGACTTCACTGTGAAGCCTCCCAACACGGTGCCCAGTCCTCCATCATGTGCACAGATATCATGCCCCTGTCACAGAAGGGATGGAGCTAGAATGAGCATGACCCTAATGTGTCAATCTGATTTAGACACTACGTATTTACCACCGACACTA